GCTGGGGGTGTGGCTCCTCCTCTACCCTTGCAAACCGCTCCTCCTCCTCCCTCTCCAATTGGCCACGACTCTGCTCACGCGTCAGGTAACGTACGGTAGGCTGTGCGGGTGCCACACAGGATGTACCTCTAGCTCCAACACCCCCAGAGCAAGTGTCTCTACTAGCAACACCCTCAGGGCCTCCAGTACCTCCTGCAGGAACACCCCCAGACTCTGCAGCGACCGGCTGCAGAGAGGAACGAGGAGGGAACTGCGGGACCGACGGGAAGCCAGGAGGTGAGGCAGGGCGGGGCCGCAGACTCGAGGCTGCCGTGTCCTCCACATGAAGGGCCTCCACACCCACACTCCCTGTACCCCCAGAGCCGTCACCACCAGCTCCAGCAGCCCCAGGACCCGCACCCTCCGCAGCTGCACCTCCCGCACCCCCAGAAACGACAGGGACTGGACGCTGCGGGGAAGACGACTGCGGTGTGACGTGTGACACACCTGGGGCAGGACGCGAGGGGGCGGGGGCTACCGGGGCAACTGGGGGGGTGCACGGGGGTGAGGAACAGCGGAGAGGAAAAGACTTCAGTACCGCAGTGGTGACAACTCCTATAGTAACATACTAACTCGTCAATAGTGACGTCCTTGGAACTGAAGAACTAGTAGGTGACCGGGTTGTAGAACGCCCAGCCGAAGGCGTCCATAGGGAAGCCAAGAAAGACACAGGCACGGGTGCGAGCAGACAACTTGTTCGCGCCAGGGCGCGAACGTGAGCTAGAGAACCCCAGACGCAGTAGTCAGCTGCTACACCCCAGGACCCTGTCCAAAGAAAGTCCGCCGTCACTGGGCCACAGGTTCAGCTGGTGGGCGGCGTAGCGGACTGCCTGGGGCCAAAGGAACTGGGGGGCACCGGCATGGCACATGGAGGTCCGGGCAACCTCCATTTCCAGGCCAATGCGTCGCTCACCTACCCTATTTTGCTGCGGAGAGTCTGGTAGCGTGTAATACTGGGTTGTTGCAATATGAATGAATGACTAGAAAGGGAAAATACCGCAAGTATATATGAAACCTAACCCTAACCCTAGGAAACAGAAAGTAACACCTAGACGAAACACAACATATAAAATATATGTTGATACACCCCCATAGTCTAGGTGACGGTAGTCATGCGGAAAGCAACACATGGATCTCAGGGTGGATCTCAAGATCACCACGCAGTCTGAGAGCAAGGGTCACAAGACCAATCAGCAAGAACAAGCAACGGTCACAAGACCAGTCCACAAGAATAAAGCAAATCTCGGGGTGGATCTCAAGATCACTATGCAGTCCGAGAACAAGCAAGAGGCCACAAGGCCAGTCCACATGCAAGTATATAGCAAGTATAAGAGATGCAAGAGTACAAGACAAGCAAGACAGGCATCTCTACGTAAGCAAGTGAGGACGGGCAGGCACAAGGCCCAGCTGGGTTCAGAAACGCTGGTGGTAGGCGGCAACGCCTTGGTGAAAATATCTGCAGTGTTGGCCTCAGAGATCACACGAATAACACGAGCCTAGCCACGCTGCTGTAACTCTCGCAGAATGAAGTAACAAAGTTGGATGTGCTTCACCTTCCCAACCAGTCGAGGCTCCTTGCACAACAGGACAGCAGACCTGTTGTCAGCGAAGAAGACTGGGGGAGAGCGAGGCCGCTCACCAAGGTCGGTGAGGAGGAAAGACAGCCAGCGAAGCTCCTGGGCGGCCATAGCCGCAGCGTACACCTTTGCCTCACAGCTGGAGCTAGCGACGGACGACGCCCGAGTCGACCTCCACGAGACAGGTCCGGTCCCAAGGCTGAAGCAGTAACCCTGTGAAGACCTATACGTGTGGCCACCGTCCGTGTACGACGAGTCAAAGAAACCTGTGAGTGTAACTGACTAATTCCCTCCAAGGAAGAGTCTCATGCCTGATGTGCTCGCCACATACAACAGCACCCTCTTAGCAGATGACCAGTGAGAAGGTCGGTGTCTCCCAGGCGCAACAAAGCAAGCCAGGACACTGAGAGGGAAAGCCTAGTCTGGCGAGTACTGGTCATCAGGTACATGAGACACCCACCAACTCAGAATAAGGACCACTGGACTCAAATGACTCGTCCGAAGGTGGAGCCGTGAGTGCATGATCCACAACAAGAGAGGTAAGCTGTACCTTGGAGAATGGGAAGCGAAACCGCGTGAGGATCTGCTCGACCATATGCGACTGCGTCAGCGTAATGGTGCGAGCTGCCATATCTCTGGTGATCTGCAGGCCGAGGTAGCGGTGCAGCTCACCAAGGTCAGTGCAAGTGTGTCTCCTCTGCAGATCCTCCTTCACGGAGGCCAGTGCTGTCCGGTTGGGAGTGGCGAAGACCAGGTCGTCGACATAAACCAGAACAAAGAACGGGGTCGAGTCATGGCGAACGAACCGTGACGGGTCAGTAGACGACGGAAAGAAAGCAAGTGTGCTGCAAGGGTCGTGCGAAGCGTGTCGTGCCACTTGCGGGGAGCTGCCACTGGGTCCCAGGAGGGAAAGAGGCGGTGAAGCCAGGCGGACGCCGCAGCCAGATCTGCTCGTGCAGGCTCCCCTGAAGGAAAGCTGTGGAGAATTCCAAGGTTGCAACTCGTAGTCGCGCTGGGCTGCAACGTGCAGCAGCACCCGAAGAGTGGTCATCTTCGGGGTAGGAGCGAAGGTCTGGAAGAAGTCTACCCCCTCTCGCTGACTAAAGCCTGTCGCCACGTAGTGTCAAACTATACTTGTTATAGTTTTGTTAGCCTAGTCTAGGTGTTACAGTGAGTTATGCAGTAGAGGGTAAAACCCCATTTAGGGTTTGCTATATGTTTCCTTGTATCAATTCGTTCTAGTCATTAATTCTTCCGGTTCTCTCTTTGACATGGTATACAGCTTAGTTCGTTCCCATGGGCCCACCTCCGCACTCCCCGTTCGTAGCTCGCTCATTTTAGGCTTCCGTCCGATCGTTGCTCGATAGCCGCCCGTAGCGAGCTCGCCGTCTGTTGGCTCGCTCGTTTTAGGGTTTCACCCGTAAGCCGCTCGGTAGCCGCCCGTTAGCCGCCCGTCCGCCGTCTGTTCGCCGTCCGTTCGCCACCCGTTCGCTGCCCGTTGCCCGTAGCGCCCTCGGCAGGTCCCGTCACCCCGTGGCCCTTCGTCCGTCTCGTAGCGCGCCCCCCCCATGGGCCTTAGTTCGTCCGTAGCGCGGCCCCCGCGGGCCCTTCGTCCGTCCCGTAGCGCAGCCCCCCCACGGGCCTTAGTTCGTCCCGTAGCACGACCCCCCGCGGGCCTTATTTCGTCCTGTAGCGCGGCCCCCGCGGGCCCTTCGTCGGTCCCATAGCACGCCCCCCCCCCCCCGCGGGCCCTAGTTCGTCCCGTAGCGCGGCCCCCGCGGGTCTTAGTTCGTCCCGTAGCGCGGCCCCCCGTGGGCCCTTTGTCAGTCCCGTAGCACGGCCCTTCGTCCGTCCCGTAGCACGGCCCTTCGTCCGTCCCGTAGCCCCCCCCCCCCCCCCCCCCCCCCCCCCCCCCCCCCCCCCCCCCCCCCTCCCCTCGCGGGACCTGCCCGCGCGCTCCCTGTAGGGCCAACACGTACGTAGCCGCGCGCACGCAACTTCGCACACGCAATCGCGCGCACACAGGCCGCACACGCAGTCGCGCCCACGCGATCGCACGCGCGTAGCCGCGCACACGCTGTCGCGCGCGCCCCTTTCCTACGCCGCCCGCGTCCCTTATCTTGGCCGCCCGCACCCTGCATAATTTATTTAACAAAATTATAAAAAAAAAAAAAAAAAAAATGGAGCCAGCACTAGCCATTGGTATGAAGCGCCATCATGCGCCAGCACCCGCGTCTAGCGCAGCAGCAACAGCTTAGGCCGCCTTCAGTCGTGCCAGCACCAGCTTAGGCCGTCCTACCACTCGTACTGCTGCCTCGAGTGGCCCCTATCTCCGTACTAGCGTGCCATGTCGATGTGGCGACAGCGGCAGCAGCAGCAGTGGCCACAGTAGCAGCAGTGGCAGCAGCACCAGTGGCCGCAGCAGCAGCAGTGACCGTGGCAGCAGTGGCCGTAGTAGCAGCAGCAGTGGCAGCAGCACCAGTGGCCACAACACCAGTGGCCGCGGCAGCAACAATGGCCACCGCAGCAGCAGCAGCAGCAGCAGCAGCTGCAGGTTCTGCAGCAGCGCCAGCGGCAGCCTCCACAGCGGAATCCTGTCGGACACGGCTAGTACGCACACCGGTACGTGGGAGCTGCAGCTGCTGTTGAGACTTGTGATTCTAGTCTTGGTGCTTGTGTAGTTTCTAGCCTAGGTACCTCTGAGGGTCCTTGTGTGGGAGTCGCGCAGCTGTCGCTAGCCTAGCCCCAGCCTTTGTCGCTGGCATGGGTTCGACCTCAGCGACTGCGCCTCTATCGTTCACCCTCTACTCTGGGGCGTCCAGTTGTTTCTTCCGCGACTGCATGGATCTTACACCACTGCGCACTCCAGTCACTGTCACCTTGGCTGACCCCACAGTGGGACCTATCGTAGCTCACTACACCACCACTCTCACGTGTCCGGCGGCCCCCTCTGGGGTCCTTACAGGTTACTACACCCCCTCGTTTTCCAGGAACTTGGTGGGTGTCAGTCACCTCCACGACCTCGGTGTAGTCACCCCTTTCCCGTTGGACGAGCCTGTTGCCTCCTGCACAAACGGTGCGACTTGGGCACCACTGGCCACTTTTTACAAGGATTGAAGCCTCGGTGATTGAAGCCTCTCGCCACGTAGCGCGCCTTGAACACCGGTGGTGCTCCAGGCGGCCGCTTCACCTTGTAGAGCCACATGCCACTGACGACATTCGCCCTGGGTGGTGGGACTGCATCGACGTAGGTGCCTGTGGACCTATAGTGTCTGAAAACCAACACTGGGGATGCCCGATTGATCCTAGGGAAGGGTTACAGGCTCGCTGGCCTGGGGGGTTATGGGCGTACTGACCCGCTACTTAACAAGCCCTTTTATCCCAATGGTCTAGTGGTTGGGATTCTGATAATAAGATGCCATCTCTGCCTCCTCAACTGCTATCCAGTACGAAGCGTAAGGTCCCGAGACCGCCTCCGCATGAGTGCGAGGGATCGGGGAGTCAAGGGCGTATGGATCCCCCTCGGGGGCAAGGAGCATGGTGCAGAGATGAGGAACAGTGGCCGCAAGGAAACCAAGCTCGAACTTCCGGCCCTCCAGGGCCTCCAGGGGAAAGATAGGAGCACCCCCAGTGCACGGAGAATGGTAGTGCCGCTCACCAGGGTGGGCGGCGTAGTTAAGGCGGTGTGACGATGCAAAGGCACTGACAGTGGTAACAAGAGCTGAGACTGACAATGGGGGGGCAGTCGGGTGGGAGGCACGGAGGTAGTCGGAGAACGGGTCGGGGAACACAGTAAGGGACAACTCAGGAGGCTACGGGAGGATCGGAGGAGGTGGAACACGAGAGCGGAGAACAAGGTGAAACGGGCAGTCAGCACGGTAACGAGACCGACGAGGCTCTGGAGACACAGCACGGCTGAGGAGAGCACGACGAGTCCACGGGGACGAGGAAAGGGAGTGGATAAGGGAAACATGATGGGACGGTAGGGGACCACGGACCAAGCGTGCAGGTGCTGGGTCGGGCAGGCCGCTCAGTCGCTGCAGCTACGCCTCCTCTGGCATTTGCTGCAGCGGCACCTGCCCCTGCTGCTGCTCCTGCTGCTCCGAGTGTGGCTCCACCTCTGCCATCTCCTGCAGCGGCGGCTGCAACTGCACCTGCTGCAGGCGCGCGGGCAGCAGGGGCGCGTGGGCAGCAGACGCGCACAGGCAGTAGGCGCGCGCGGGCAGCAGGCGCGCGCGGGCAGGAGAGGCGCGCGGACAGCAGGCGCGCGCGGGCAGCAGGGCGCGCGGGCAGCAGGGGCTTGCGGGCAGCAGGCGTGCGCAGGCAGCAAGCGCGCGCGGGCGGCAGCGACGCGCGTGCAGCAGGCGCACGCGGGCAGCAGGGCGCGCGGGCAGCAGGGCTCGCGGGCAGCAGGCGCGCGCAGCCAGCAGTGCGCACGGGCAGCAGGGGCGCTCGGGCAGCAGGGCTGCGCTCATGCAGCAGGTTCGCGCGAGGCAGGGCAGAGTGCAGGGCAGGGGCGCACTGGGTAGGGCGCGCGGGCAATAACGGGCCTAGGATCTAGGATCGATCCTAACCTAGCGTATGAAACCATGTCAAGATTGTGAATAGCCAGCAGGTTGATACCATGTTCAGTTTCAACTTGGGCTCAGGAGCTCCTCTGGCTTGACCTTCTTGTTCACTGACCTAGGTGAGCGGCCTAGCTCTGCACCGACATTGTTTGCTGACAACAAGGCCATGATTCTCCTGTGTCGAGAGCCTTGACTACAGAGCAGAGTGAACACATCCATCTGCGGTACTTCCTGCTGAGAGAGCTACAGCGACGCGCCAAGCACGCTTGGACTTTGTGGCCTCAGCAGCCAACACAGCGTACATTTTCACAAAGGCTCTTCCGCCTGATTATCACCACAGGTTCTGTTTGTCAAAATATGTGAAAATGAATGATGAATGACTAGCAACATGTGGGTACAACTATGAAACCCTAACTGGGGTTGTACTCTATACTGAGCACCTCACTGTAGCCTAGCAGAACTAAGAACATACAAATATGTTTTGACACACCCCCCTAGGCAAAGTGAGGGATAGCCAAGACAACAAACGGTCACAAGACCAGTCAGGCAAGAGAACAAAGCAAAGCAAAGCCCAGGGTGGATCTCAAGATCACCACTCATTCTGAGCACAAGCAAGCGGCCACAAGGCCAGTTCACATGCAGAGGTATAATAGCAAGGCAGTATACTGATCACAACCTAGCAAGAGGAAACATGCAAATATAAATATAGATATCAGTATACAACAAGTGCAAGGTCAAGAGACAAGCAGGTGAGGCAGAACGGGCAGAAGCCCAAGAGCAGTGCAAAAGCGCAGATGATCACCAGACCCAAGGGCCTCGGTGAAGACATCAACAGTGTTGGCCCGAGAGGCCACGTAGGAAAGGCGAAGCTGACCACGCTGCTGCAGCTCTCGAGCAAGGAAGTAGCGAAGAGCAATGTGCTTCGTTCTGTGCTCCAGTCTCTGCTCGTGACACAAGGCAAGCATGGCCTTGTTGTCAACATACAGAACTGGAGGAGAACGAGGCCGCTCCCCCAAGTCGGTCAGCAGGTAGGTCAGCCAGCGTAGCTCCTGTGCAGCCATAGCCCCAGCGTAGATCTCAGCCTCACAGCTGGAACCAAACACAGAAGAATAACGAGTGGACCTCCACAAGACAGAACCAGAGCCAAGACTGAAGGTGTACCCCTGTGACGAACTCTGAGTCGCCTGGTCGTCGGCCCCAGAAGCGTCGGAGTGTCCTGTGAGTACCACTGAACCCCGTCCTCCAAGCACGAGCCCCATGCCCGATGTACTTGCAGCATCCCAGTGCACCTTTCGGTGTCTACCAGGAGCCACGTAGCGAGCCAGAAGGCTGAGAGGGTACGCGAGGTCAGGTCGTGTGCACGTCATCAGGTACATGAGGCAACCCACAAGCTCTGGACACGGACCACTCGGCTCTACGGACTCGTCCGAAGGTGGAGCTGAGAGCGAGTGGCCAGTAGGCAGAGGAGTGGGCTGTGGCGAGGACCACGTGAAGCCGAAGCGCTGAAGGACCTGGTGCACCATGTGAGAATGCGTCAGGGTGATGGTGCACCGTGCTCCGTCCCGGGTAATCTGCAAGCCAAGATAGCTCCGCAGCTCACCCAGGTCAGTGCAGGTGTATCTCTCCTGCAGCTCCGCCTTCACTAGGGCCAGTCCCTCAGTGTCAGCAGTAGCAAAAACCAAGTCGTCCACGTACACGAGAACGTAGAACAGCGGCAGAGTAGTGTCGGTGCGTAGAAAGAGCGACGGTTCAGCAGAGGAGGGGGCAAACCCAAGAGCCGCAAGTGTCGTCCTCAGTGTGTCGTGCCACTCGCGGGGCGCCTGGCGGAGACTGTAGACTGGCCGCCGGAGGCTCCACTGGGTACCCGCAGGAAACGACCCAGTGAAGCCAGGTGAGCGGCGCAACCAGATCTCCTCGTGAAGGCTGCCCTGCAAGAAAGCTGTGGAGAAGTCGAGGGAGTGCAGCTCGTAGTCACGCTATGCTGCAACGTGCAGCAACACCCAAAGAGTGGTCATCTTCGGGGTGGGGGAGTAGGTATGGAAGAAGTCGACCCCCTGTCGCTGACTGAAGCCTCGAGCAACGTAACGAGCCTTGAAGGCAGGTGGAGAACCTGGTGGTCGCTTCACCCTGAAAATCCACATGCCATCGACGATGTTCGCCCCAAGAGGAGGAACCTCGTCAACGTAGGTGCCTGTGGACTTCCAGGAAGCCACCTCTGCGTCCATGGCTGTCTGCCACTGAGAGTACTCACCTGCAATCGCCTCAGCGTAAGAGCGCGGGGTAGGGATGTCAAGTGCATCCGGGTCTCCCTCAGGGCAAAGCAGCATGGATGCGAAACGAGGTAAGGCGGCCGCAAGACACTCAAGCTCAAACTGTCTGTCCTCAAGGACGTCACTGCTAAGGGCAGGCTCACCCCCGAGGGACGGAGGACAGACAGACTCAGACTCAGTAACAAGACTCGCGACGTAGTCGAGACGACGTGTAGCAGCAAAGTCAACTAGCTCAGTGACTAGGGCAAACACAGCAGTAGACTCAAAGTCAGGGTCAGTGACGACAGTAGCGAGGAGACGAGTGACAGTAGGACTGGCAGCACAAGCAGGGTCAGACTCAGGGTCAGGAACGTGCGGAAGAGAGGACGCGAGAGGCTCAGGCAGAAGGAAGGACAAAGTGCCATACCCTGAGTGCCTGGGACAGCAGGAGGACGAGGACGGGCAACACGACGAGCACGAACAGGTGTGGAAGCACGAGTCTCGGGCTCACGACGCTCAGTCAAGGACTCAGTCACCTCAGAGTGAGGAGCAGGAGCTGGTAGCGGGGAGCCAGGCAGTAGCTGTGGCTGAGACTGGTCTGGCAGTGGACACAGGAGAGGTGGAGTGAGGCTAGTGGAAGACGGGAGACTAAGAACCTGGCGAAGGGCCGAGTCAGGCGGCGGCAGGGACGACTGCAGCTGCGGGTAGAAAAACGGTCGGCTCGGCGCAGTACCCGTACCGTCAGCAGCCTCAGCACCTCCAGTAGCACCTCCAGCACCGGCAGCACCACCAGCTCCGGCAACTCCAGCACCTCTAGTACCTCCAGTACCTCCAGCTCCAGCACCGCTAGTAGCACCTTCAGCACCAGCAGCACCACCAGCTCTGGCAGCTCCAGCACCTCTAGGACGAGCAGCTCCAGCACCTCCAGTACCACCAACTCCAGCACCTCCAGCACCAGCAGCACCACCAGCTCCGGCAGCTCCAGCACCTCTAGTACGAGCACCTCCAGAACCAGCAGATCCAGCACCTCCAGTACCTCCAGCTCCAGCACCTCTAGTAGCACCTCCAGCACCCGCAGCACCACCAGCTCCGGCAGCTCCAGCACCTCTAGGACGAGCACCTCCAGGACCAGCAGCTCCAGCACCTCCAGTACCACCAGCTCCAGTGCCTCCGGCACCAGCAGCTCCAGCACCTCCAGCTCCAGCAGAACCTCTAGTAGCACCTCCAGCACCAGCAGCTCCAGCACCTCGAGCACCAGTAGCTCCAGCACCTGCAGCACCTCCAGCAATACCTCCAGCACCAGCAGCTCCAGCACCTGCAGTACCTCCAGCACCTCCAGCACCTCTAGCGTCTAGGTAACTCCAAGTTCCAGCACCAGAGCGGCCTCGCCGAACGACCCACTCACGAAGCTGTTGCGGTGAGAGTGTCTCGAGTCGACTAGGGCGCTGCTGTCCAACACCAGGACCTGCAGCAGGAGCACCCACGGCCCCTCCACCACTAGGACTCGCAGCACCCCCAGTCTCAGCACCCCCAGAACCAGCATCCCCAGTCTCAGCGCCCCCAGTCTCAGCACCCCCTGTCTCAGCACCCCCAGGACCAGCACCTCCTGCGTCCTCACCCCCAGTGTCACCACCCCCAGCAGCACCAGTGTCCACAGCTACAGGCTGCAGAGGTGGTGAAGACGGTCGAGGCGGAAAACCAGGAGGGGTCTCCAAGCGTGGAGAGCGACGAGTGGCCGCCGTGTCGTCAGCGGCAAGGTCACCCCCCTCAGCCGGGCCAGTGGAGTCAGAAGAGATCTCCAAAGGCTCAACCAAGGGGGGTGGGTCTACCTGAGACACACCTGAGGGAGCAGGACCCTGTGGGGGGAGGGGGTCTACCGGGGGGGGAACTGGTACCAGATGAGAGGCGCCAGGGGGACCGGGTGGGACGCGTGCGGGTGCAGCCTGTAGAAACAGACCGACTCGTCAAAGGTGACGTCCTGGGAGGAGAACACGCGACGCGAGCGAGGGTAGTAAAACTGCCACGGCGGGGCGTCGGTGGGGAAGCCCAGGAAGGCGCAGCGGAGAGTGCGAGGAGAGAGCTTGCTCGCGGTGGTATCGCGAACAAGGGAGAGCGCGCCCCAGACCCGAAAAGCCGACGCATCGCCGACCTTTCCTGTCCAACGGAGTGTGGGCGAGGTCTCTGGCAAAGAGAGACGTGGCCAGAGGTTGAGCTGATGCGCGGCGTATCGGACCGCAAACGGCCACAGAAAATGGGGAGCAGCCGCATGGATCATGGAGGTACGAGCAACCTCCATGATCAAGCCAATGCGACGCTCAGCAATCCCATTTTGCTGCGGAGAGGCCGGAAGCGTGAACGACTGGATGATGCCCTCGTCTCGACAGAACCCCGCAAGGAGGCCGGAAGAGAACTCACCACCGCTGTCAGAGTGTAGACGCAGGACTAGAAGGTCCCGCCGAAACCGCTCGCGCAGCTGGTGACGAGTAGCGCGGATCTAGGGGATCAAAACACCGCTGACGTCCGCCTTTCTACGCAAGGGGAAGACCGTGGTGTAGCGCGTGTAGTTGTCAACGACCAGCAGGAAGTAGCGCTCATGGTCCGTCCCACAGACGGGGGCCGGGCCCCACACATCCATGTGGAGAGTCTGCAGAGGAGCAGTGGTCAGAGGAAACGAGGAGGAGTGAGGAGCGGCGCGCTGCCGCCCCTCGACGC